AACTCATTCGTTAATGGGTCTTTAATAAATTAGATAGTCAAAAGTTCGTCATTCAAGAACATAAGTGACGTAAATTTATCACTGCCTGAAAAGGAATGGCGAGTGTTAAGAGAAAATAGAACCGTTAAAATTGAATAAATTTACACCTTGTGCTGATTAAAATACTGCATAGTCAGCTCTCGGGTGATTCAAGGCAAGAGGAGCTCGCATTCGATAGCCGCTCCTCTCGTCCATTCGGATTTGCAAACAACAGAGCCTCGTTTTGACCCTATTAGTCACGCGTTAAAGACTTGTTATCGGTCTGGAGCCTATCTACCTCAAGAAGAGGAAATTAGCAGTCAAAAGAAATTTATTTTTGGGAATCGAATAATGTACCTCTGAAATTCAAAATCAAACGCTTACAAGTGCGCCGCGGCCCCTAAGGCAGTTCTTATCACGCAATTTGAAAGGGAGAGCGAGACACGACGAATAAATGTCGTAAAATAAATGTTGACATAAAAAATGTGTAGAACTGAACATCATTCAGTACCGCGAGAATCGCAAAAGCATAAAGTGCCACTAAACTGTGCATGAGTCCGTTTCCCTTATCATCACAGCATTGAATTATCCTGGATTAGCATTCATATATCTTGAGCTTGATTTTGCGTATTTGATTTTAATTCTTTCAGAGAAAAATGATGCAATTATGTGTGGCCAACTCTAATGCCGGATATACAGCAAACGTTTTTTTAACAGGATTAATTCTTTTGAGCAAAGAATTTGTTCCTACTGCGCTTCAGCAACCCAACCAATTCTTAACCTGTCAAGCTGACTAATAGCTAGCAAGTCTAGGTCTTGAAAACAGCGGATGGGTATGATGGTCATATATCGTCATGCCAGGAAAGGTGAATTTCTAATCATGATGTTCCATACGCACACTTCATGACTGAAAATCTTATTATGCCTGCCAACTTATAGCAAATCTTTTAATGCCACACCATGCAACTCACATGTGAATTAAGGAAAATCGAAATTATCATGAATAAAAGGTGTTAAAAACAGAAAATTAACATAGGAGAGAGCGAAGATCAGTTTTTAATTTGTTTTTTCCCACAATCCATCAGCTTTCACTACGTGATTGCCAACAGAACAATCAATAGATCCATCTACAGATCAAGCAATACAGTAAACAATGGGAAGAGCTGTTTAAGGCCTAACATTGCAATTGTTTAAAATTAATTGCTTCTGATTTATAAGAATGCGAACGAAAAAGGTCAGGAAGCGCTGAATTGCGTAGCTTCAACTTACGTAGAACCGTCAAATGAAACTGCACTTCACTTTCTCCAACAATATTTCTCGCTAAACAGGAATAAATTCCGGCATGGCTCCGCTTGGCATGACGGATGAAAAGGCTGTGGTTTCCAGGAGTATAAGTTACGTCATCGTTCGCTCGCCTAATCGAACGACCGCCCTTGAGCCAGAGAAATTCAGGGAATGGCGTTCCTGTAGCGAACTCAGCGGCACATGCCAGTAATATGGAGTTCTTTTCGACCACTTTCACTTCTATCAGAGAGTTTCTGAACTGAGGTTTAGCTAAAAGATTCAGTCTCATGTCAAATCATACTTCATGAAAGAGGCTCCTACTGCAAATGTTAACCAAAAAGTTTACTATGGCTGTTCCGACTTCGTTTTCTGCTTTGCAAGCGTATCTTCCTCCGTCGAAAGTCTAAATAGCAATGACAATCATACTGACAGACTTTTAGGTGCCAAGTGAAAGTTTACCTCTATGTTTTGCACTTTGAATTGACGCGCTGAAATTTTATATTTTTCCTTCCTCACGACTAGACGGTGAAGTGGCGACAAATTTTTCAACCAGACGAGAGTTGGGTTCGGATTGCCGGTTGCATGACAATTGATAATAAGCGATCGGTTTTCTATGGCGTGAATAATTTGTTCTGTTGCTGCAATACGTGGCGGAACTGGAAAAGAAGGAACATCTACAGAATTGAAAACATTTCGACAATTTCAAACAGTGTTTCACATCACATTCAGGGTGTGAAAGAGTAACTTAAGAAACGAAGGAAAGAGACAGTCCCTGCAGTCAACCATTGCAAGAATAATTTCGAAAGGGATTGCAACTATGAAACGTGAATCGTAACTTTCAATTCGTGGAAGCTCCAAAATAAAGTTCAGCAAAGTCATAGTCAAACCCTATACGCATTCTCAGGATCCAGCCGTAGCGCTGATTTTTACAGGTAGCGTATCGTATGATCCTTCTAGGTGCATAGATCAACAAGCGATCAAACATCGTTTATAAAATTATCCACAATTCACTGCTCACATTGAAAATGTTTGACATAAGGGTGACTGAAGTGAAATCTGGTAGTGAAGAACTCATTAGCTAAAAGTGAATCAAGGTATAACATGACTAAGTTCGAGATTTACCAATCAAACGAATTATTACAATGCCAGTTAGCCATGCAAGTTAGCGTGTTAGCAAGTTATCAAGCACATGACCGAAGGATCACTGATCAGTACTTACGCGCGTTTATTTGGTGACACAATTTTGGATTATTTGTATTCTGAATCTAACAAGGCTTCAAAAAATGCATATGCCATAACATAACGAAGTATTGGCTTTATATTTAGGAACGGCAACGAAAGAAAGAAATGAAAGGATTAAAACATCGACGCTTGTCAGCCGGTACAGAACTTCGCAGAAATTTGGCCGTGCCGTCAATAGCACACTGTTTGGTAAATTACATCTAAACGAAAGCAGCAATTTGAACTAATTTAGGCTGAAAAACTTAGCTCTCTATAGCTGTTTAAAACTGTAAAACTTGATTAGATTCAGCAAAAACACAGCTTGAACGGTAGAACAAAATCTCAAGGGACAGTCAGTTTGGAATATTGCCTAAATCAGCCAAAGTAACATACGGGATTGGTGGCCAGTTGCTACGGGCCATCCGATCACTGTATTCTGATAGCAGGTGCTGTGTCAGAGTTGATGACGTTAAGTTGAAACCATTCAACATTCGCACTGGTCTCCGCCAAGGCTGCATCATGTCCCCTATTCTGTTTGTGTTGTACATGGATAGAATAGTCAGGAGCTGCCAAGGCGATGAGGGTATCGGTGTCGGAGATGTGGAGGCAAGAAAGTGGTTGCTTGCAGACGACTTTGTTTTATTAGCATCTTCTGAAACTGATCTCCAGTGCTCCTAACAAAGGTTCGCAGCCGAGTGCGACGTGACCGGCATGCGTGCGAACGCATCTAAAACGAGAAGCCTCGTGCTTTCTCGTTCTCCTGCCCGTTCCTCATTAACGGAGAGGCAGTGGAACAGGTGGAGAAGTTCAAGTACTTCGGAACTGTATTTACTAGTGATGGAAAGTTGGGGGAAGAGATCGACCGGCGAATTGGTATAGCCAGCGGCGTTCTGCGTGAACTAGCCCGAG